TCATAGAAATAGACCTTAATTAAATGGTAGGCTACAACTGCAGAAAGTTCAGTACAAAAGAGAAAACACAGGCGCTAGGACTTAGGACTTGTGGGCTGTTCTTGTCTTCAGTTCTGGTGGGTTATAGAAATAATGTAGCTAGCTTCTAAGGTAGAATAAAGGGTATAGATTTATATAAGTGATTTTGCTACAGTTTTGGTTTGTCTTTCATATTATATGTATTGACATGATATTAATAGCTAAAACATTTAAAGGAATTAAAAAATCTCCTGGGTTCTAGACTGGTCTTTACTGCTTAGTAACAGGCAACCTTTAGCAGGTTACCTACTTTTTCTCTTCAGGTCCCTGATTCCTCACATATAAAATAAGAATTAAAACTATGTTTAACAGAGTAGTTGTGAGGATTGAACAGAAGTTATTTGTATTTAGCACAATGCCTGAAATACATAAAACTGCTAATGAATTTCTTCTCATTTTTGGTTCCTAATAGAGCCTGTATTGTGTTAAGTTTGCAAGGCACTATTAGTTTAGTGTAATCAGTTCTGTAACTGTGATCTAAGGACATTTGTTTTTAACATTCTGTGTCCTACATGAGGGTGGATCTGAAAATGGAAGAATAGAAGCATTGATCCTCCAATATCTAATGATATCACATGGTTCCAGAGAAAAACCGTGGTTGGACTACTATTTAATACCTCTCAAAACCAAACCAATTAGAAATAATGGTTAGTTGGAAATAATATGTTTACACTTGTTAGTATAATGGACATTATTTATTTATTTATTTATTTATTTTACTTTATTTATTCTAATTCATTATATATGACAGAAGAATGCAATTAAATTCATATTACATAAATAGAGCACCTAGGAATTAAACCAGAGACCCTGCACATAATAGAAGAAAAAGTAGGCCTATATCTCCATCATGTTGGATTAGGCCCCAACTTCCTTAATAAGACACCTGTAGCACAAGAATTAAAATCTAGAATCAATAAATGGGATTAATTAAAACTGAAAAGCTTCTTCTCAGCAAAAGAAACAATGAGTGAAGTGAATAGAGAGTCTACACAATGGGAGCAAATTTTTACCACATGAACATCAGATAGAGCACTGATCTCTAGGGTATATAAAGAACTCAGAAATCTTAACACCAAAAAACTGAATAACTCAATCAATAAACGGGCCAAGGAACTGAACAGACACTTCTCAGAAGATGATACACAATCAATCAACAATATATGAAAAAAATGTTCAACATCTCTAGCAATTAGGGAATGATTTTTTTATAGTTAACAAAATTTAAATGCAACATAAATATTTGAGAGCTAAGAACCATTCAGGAAAAACACTAACATGTCCCAAAATAAAAATGGTAGTTTACAGCCAACTTTAGGTAAATTAAATAATGTCAAAAAAAAAGAAAGCACAGTTTAGTTTTCTGTCATTGTCACCCATCTGAGAAGAGTTTAAGTTTTTCAAAAGTTAACTTTAGATCTTTAAAAAATTTTAATTCTTATTTTATTATGGTAAGAAAACTTAAAAAGATTCACTTAACAGATTTATAAGTGTACAACACAACATTGTTATTATAGGCACAATATTGCTCAGAAGATCTTTAGAACTTATTCATCTTACATAARTGAAACTTGTTGTACATTCAGCAGCAGTTCCTCACTACCTCGCCTTCCAGCCCCTGGCAAACCAGTCTACATTCTGTTTCTGTCATTGTGACTATTTTAGGTATTTTATATAAGTGGAAGCATGCAGTATTTGTCCTTCTGTGACTGGCTTATTTCACTTAATATAATGTCCTCAGGTCCCATATTACAGTGTTTCCTCCTCTTCCTTTTTTTTTCCTTTTTAAAATAAAGGCTAAATAATATTTCATTGTGGTTATATTTTCATTATTCATCTGTCAGTGGCCATTTAGGTTATTTTTACATCTTGGCTATTGTAGATCATGCAGCTGTGAACATGGGAGTATTCTATATCTCTTCAAGATATAGAATGTTTTAAATATTTTTTTTTAAAGATCTAAATTGAGGCTGGGGATATAGCTCAGTTGATAGAGTGCTTGCCTTACATGCATAGGCCCTGGGTTTAACCCCCAGCACCACAGGAAAAATAAATCTAAATTGCTTTGTTATCACAATCCAAATTATTTTAAGTAGAATGCTCCTTTATGTCAATGAGATATACTAATTGTAATTTGTTTTTTCTAAGTGGTCCCAATATCACCATTGTTTTTATCAATTATGTTTTCAGAGGCACAGTCAGGTTACAGCCCAGCTATTAGAGTTGCTATTGATTGATGGATTTTAACTTTTATTTTTAAGTTAAAAATATTATAGTCTTTAACAAAAAGCACTTGAGAATGCCATCAGAAATAGAAGTACATATGGAATGAGCTATTGATTGCCAATGGCTCTTTTGACATGATAATAATCTAATGTTAAAAGCTGAAATATTTTTATGATATACTATGAATGAGCTCATTGCTCTTCATCAGTATTATAATCATAACATCTTCAAAGTCTAGTTCAGATACCTCCTTCTCCATGAGGTCAGCTTTCATCCTCAAAGCCATAAGTAACCCCTTCCTCCTTTAAATTCCAATAGCATTGTGTATGCTTCTCTTTGTATTTTTAAGTTGAACCTTGAAATATAATTATTTCTTTTATATTCCCAAATAAATCTATAAATGCCTTAGGGCACAAACTGTTAAACATTCAGATAAACACAGCAGATTGTTGTTAATATTCAGTTATTGAAATCTACTTTATCCAAAGTACTATGCCTTACAGTATGCAAACGTAAGTATTACACAGCTGTTGTCCTTCTCATTTTATTCCTCATGGTGCCTAGTCTCCTTTTCCCTTATGTTCTGTGATGCTCCTTTGTTTTCTTCCTACTTCTCTTGCCACTGTTTCACAGGTTGTCTCTTCTGACAGACTTCTGAGTAATGAAAGTGTTCGGGCTTGTTTCTAAGCTCTCTTCTTTTATAGTAATACTCTGAAATACCATCTCAATGCCAGTGAATCTTGATTTTATGTCTTTAGTTCAGATGTTTCTTCTGAACATCAAGTCTTACACATTCCACTGCCCCCCCTTTTGGATGGGGGATACTAGGGACTGAACCCAGGGGCACTTAACCGCTGATCCATATTCTTAGTCCTATTTTCTTTTCTTTTCTTTTTTTTTGATTTTGAGACAGGGTCCTTGCTAAATCACTGAGGCTGACTTAGAACTTGCAATTTTTCTACCTTAGCCTCCTAAGCTGCTGGATTACAGGCATGGGCCACTGTGCCCAGTTCCAATTGCCTTTGAAGTCTCTTCAGATTTGGTTCCACTCCAGGAAAGCACCTTTCATCCACTCAGTTGCCAAGCCAGAATCTTGAACGTGATCTTTGATAACTCTTTTTCTGTCACCCACCACAACAAGTCCATTACCAAGTCCTATTGATTTCTGCCTCCTCTGGTTTTGTCTTTCTRTGGTTCTACCCAACACACCAACCCATAGTCCAGGTGTCGTGGCCCCTTTTGGCCCCTAGTCCAATCTCCACAGATGACATTTTAAAATACAGTGATCATTTAAAAATCATTAAGCAGACCATGCTTTAAAATCCCTCATTGTTCTTAGGATAAGATTTTGAAATATTCAACATGCTTCAAGTTATATATAATGAGGCCTTCTACAGTCTCATCTCATGCTACCCCTTCCTTCTATAATCCAGCAACTATAACATTCTTTAAATTCCAGAGATTTGCTGAGTCCTCTTCCCCACCAAGTGAACCCTGTTAACCTTCCCTCTCAACTTAAACATCATTTCCAGAACAGGCTTTATCCAATCCCTTGGATTTAGGTTCATTTCTTATGTATCTTGATGTATCTGAACTTTTCCAGCATAGCATCTCTAGTAATTTGTAATATTTATTTTGTTGTGCAATTATTAGCTTACTATCTGGCTCCTCCATGGTTCTATAAGGTCCCTGAGGGCAGGGACCATGTCTGCTTTGTTCATATGCCAAGCCCAGGACCTGACACATAGTGGAGAGTCAATAAATTTATGTATTGAGTGAAATAAATTGAAAATAAAAGTTCAGAACACATTAGAATACTTTGCAATAGAATGTGTTTACAACTTACAGCTATAAGTTAATATATGGTAATGAGTTTCTGACCCTTGTATGAAGACTTTTGTTCATGACTGAACTGGGCATGTGCTGTTTTTCTAATTCTTCAAATTTTAGTATTGTTATTGCCAAAGAATATATTTGACAACAGGAACTTTTTTTTTGTCAGTGTGACAGCAGTATTTATTGATTCCCCTACTGTTTGCCTGGTGCTGTTTTAAATGCTTAAGATATAGCTGGTGTGATCCAGCTTACTTTCCCATGAAGGACAAAAAACAAATAAGTACACAGAAAATTTTAGCTATTGAAAAATACTCTGAAATAAATAAGAGTGATGGCATGTCTACAATGGTTATTGAAATCCTAATGAAAAGGTAGTGTTTGAACTAAATTTGATGTGACAAGATGGAGTCAGCCATTAGAAGCCTGGGGCAGAGCCTTCTAGGCAGAGAGGATGGCACCCACAGGGGCACTGCTGGGGACATTTGAGAAGCAKAGTGGCCAGTGGTTCCCAAGTATAGGGAATGAAGGAAATGAAGGGAAGGGAATGCTAAAAGTTGGAGATCTTGTTGCTTAAAGTTCTGAGTCTGTCACTTATTGGCTCTGTACCACAAATCAAAGACCATTATAATGCCTAGCCCATTGGAATGTTGCTTATTGATAATGACAGTGAAGCAGTAATTCTATACATCATTGACAATTCCTTCCATAGAATTTATGTGCAGGAAAAACTGGGAAAGTGAATGTTACTTAAAATAATGACCCTGTGTTTAATAGTTTACTAATTTATTATCTTTAAAAATAAATGTGCTATGTTGCTAATTATTTGTGAGCATGAATATTTACATGGATTTCTCACAAAGGTAAAAAAGCTGAAGAGAGAACTCTCACAAATGAAGCAAGAACTGCTCTATAAAGAACAAGGCTTTGAAACATTGCAACAGTGAGTATAAAAAATACTGAAATTGATTTTACAATAATTCAAACTCCCTAACTAATACAAAGAAAATAGAAGTAGAGATTACTTAAGAGATTTCTCAAGGAAACAAAGTAAAATGCTCAGAGCTCTGTACCAGAAATACAAAAAAAAAAAAAAAAAAAAAAAAAACCAATCAACTAACAACAAAAAACTTGGGAAAAATCTATTCACTTTGAAAACATCTGAAGTTTTTATTAATCATTGGAGATACAAAAAACCAAAGTGAAACTTAACTTTGTCTCCTGGACCCCTGCCAGCCTCCAAGATAAGAAAATAAGCACGGAAAGTACCTTTTAATGTTCTGTACTAGGGACTGAACTGGGTGGGCTCTACTTGATTCCCTCTGAGCCTGCAGCTGCCCTGAATGCTCTTGGAGGCATCTCCATTCCTCTCTGTCAGTCCCACAGATGACTAGAGTCTAACCCTAATTGATAGCAAGGGAGCAAGAACAAGTTAGGTTTCTTCAAAGAGCTCAAAGTTGCTCATTTCCTGCTTCCTTCTGTCCTTTCCATTTCAATTCTGAAATCTGATGGGCCTTCAGAACAGTTTTAGAATGGGTCAGATTAAAAGAAAATGTTGATAGGAAGGATAGCAAGTTCTAGAAATCCCCACCCCATTACCAGGCACGCCTGAGGTGGTCTGTCTCCCCTCTGCCCCATCCCAGCAGTCTCTCATGAAAGGAAAAATACCTGAAAGACATTGAGCTACTTTCCATGTCTCCCCTGCATGGCACAGGTTTGATGCCACCAGTTGTGGTACCATAGTTCTAGGTATTTTCCTGGTCAAGTTCATGTTCCAGCAGGTTTCATGTTCTTCCAGACATCTCCTTCAGCAGAACCTTGGGAATGCAAAGCTGCTGTCAGGAGCCATCTCTGTGGAAAGTACTCAGTTCTGTTCCTTTTGACTGAATTCCTATTCTGCTTTCTGCTTTTAGGAAATTTGGGACAGTCCAGGACAGTAAGGCATTACCCTCATCAAAAATCACATGTGTTACTAGCCAGACAAACAAACGCTGATTATTCTATATGTTTGTCGAGTTGTATCTTGGGATGCCCCATCACTACTCTTGGTCACCAGCTAGACACATGACTTTAGTTTGAGAATTAGGTTTTATGGCTTTTGTTTGCCTACTTGCCTCATAAAGTCATGATACTGGTATTCATTCAGATGCTTCTGTTCTAGTGTTTCTCAGACCTGATTGCATATTAGAATAATTTGGGGGAGCTCTTAAGAAATACTTGTTTTTACCTCCACCCCAGGAATACTTTGTGAGATCTCAAAATATGAGTGGTTCTCTAGGATAGCCATGTTCTAGGGACCTCTGTTGGCTGCAGAGCTCCCCTAAAAACCCAGAAGACCTAGAATGACATAAATGTGTTATCTAGTAGTTGTGTATCAACATAAAGCAGGACTTTGTGGTACAGTGAGAAAACAAACTTTGAAGAATGCCACAAAATGTTTAGGTACATGTTAAACATTTTTAGGACATGAAATTATAACTCATGTCACCACTCAGGATTAAAGGTTAGCCAAACTTGCTGTTTTTGTTATATTGATGTGACAATGCTGTATTGTTTCAAAGCAGTTTGCTTGCAAGCAATTTTTATAGGAATCTAAGGCATGTTTAAGAATCTGTCAATAACATTCCACAAGAAAACAATAGACATTTGTTGTAGAAAATCAGGCATTCTTTGGAATGAGTCTAATCCCTTGAACCAAGAGCAGAAAGATATGATATCTAACATCAGAGACCTCTCCTGTTGATGTTAACTATAGATATAATAAAGCTGTTTTCAYTCAAATATTAACCACCATACTACTAAAACATTGAATGATAATTGATTGAACTGAGACTTAACTTTTTAAGAAACCACATTCCTGATACTTAGAAAGGGACTTTTTTGTGTGACTGTGACAGAAGATACATTTCAGGAAAAGATTTTCATTTTAGGCTTTTGTAATTTTTCACTTATTTACAACAAATGGAATATTTTTGCTAAATTTGGAATTAGAATGTAAACTTGAGCTTTCATTTTATTTGTAACAATAGTTTTATGCTGGGTGAATAAATATTTGTTTTATTCTGCATGTTACTTATTCATTTTGTAGCCTCAAATTTGACTTAGGCAATGTAGCTTATGTGTAGAAAGATACCAGGAAGATGCATATATTTTGCTATCTACAGTGTGCATTCAGAATTCAAAAATGGGAAGTGATGAAGCACTCAGCAAGCAAAAAGCATATATAGATTCTATAACAATTTGCCTCTGAGAGTATATTCATTTTCCAGAAAAGGCTTGGAAAGGAAACTCTCTTCTGTCGCAGAAAAGACTCAGATATAGAGTAAAAACCAAAGCTTAAAAAAAAGGTTCTTCTCAAATTAAGAACAAAAGAGCATAGCATTTTGTGTTAAGATCCAGCAAAGGGCTAGGGTTGTAGCTTAGTGGTAGAGTACTTGCCTAACTTGTATAAGATCATGGATTTAGCCCCCAGCACTGCAAAAGGAAAGGAAGAGGGGAAAAATAAAAAGGCCAACAAGCCATGCTCATATTTTATTTTACTTTATAGTCAGGTCAAAGAAAGAAAAGGTGGAAAATGAAAAGTAGAGGAGAAAAAAAAAGAAAAGCATGGAAATAAAGGGACATTTGAAGTAAAATAGAGAGGTTCAAAGGAGACAAAAGAAAGGGAGAGGAAGACCAAGGGCTCTATTGGGAATGCCAAATGAGATAGCTTATTCTTCACATTTACCAATCTGGAGCTGTTAGACAACCAAGAAATTTTCATCTTTTTAAGTATCTCAGAAATTTAAATTAGCACTCTGAACTAGTTCTGCTTTTATTCCTGAACTATAGTTTATTTCTACAAACAGCTAACCTGCTTTTATTTTCAAATGATGAAATTTATTTCTCAATTAAATATATTACCATTATATTTGAATGATTTTATATAAGTAGGAAGAAATTACTTTGGCTTTGGGAAATTCACCTTGATAGTTTCAGATAACTTGTATTTCTAGCTTTTTCATGAAATCTCAAAGTTTCTGGGTTTTGTTTATTTTTAGTTTAAAAAGTACTATGCTTGAAATTTTATTTTATTTAATATCTTTTGCCTCATCTAAGTTGATGGACATTAGTATACTTAGAGGAGTCAAAAATTTCACTGATACACCCCAACCCGAGTAAATGGAATTATATTTAAAATACTTTACCGTTCTCATAAATATTCTAGATGTATAATCATAAGAGCCTCAAGCTAGTGTTTGTCCTTTCAGGATAGCTGCCCTACAAGCTAAGTATTTATTCAGTTTAGGGGTTAATTTACACAAATTTTCTGGTTTCAGTTTCTTCATTTGGCATGTGTGACAAGGGTATCTCTAGGGTCCCTTCCCACCCTAAACACCTTGTGTGAATTTGTTAAATTCTGTAACTTCATTTATTATATTTTATTATGARATGACTTCATGATCAAGTTTATTTTATTAGATTTTTAAAGACTTCAATTGCTTCTTCAGTATCATAAAATATTTTCTAAAATAGGAGTTAGAGAAATATGCTATCTATAAACTGCTTTTGTTTGAATAAACTTTGTTTGGCAGAGTAATTAAGATGAGGGTTGTTTTTTTTTCAGATTATACCGTTCACATTGAAAATACATATTAATGATGAAATGTTCTAAACCAAATGGGCCCAGAATCCATTTTCTCTGATTYAGTAGGTGCTGTTTTTCTGGAGAGTCCATGAGTAAATCTAAGAGTATGTTTTTGAGAACATGTATAGTATACCTGATGGCTGATGGGGTAAAGGCATAGACCCACAAATAAAACTCAAGTTGTATTTTTAACAAATCCAGGACAGCATTGTAGCTGGGGCGGAACCAGAAGGATGGTCATAAAGAGAATGTTCAACTATTCTTGATGAGGACTGGGTACTTTGGTTGTGCCCTTCAAACACAAAAAATTAGGTTACATGAAATCCTCTAGCCCAGGATGATGATCATGTAGACTGTAAGACACTTGGTAAGCAGATCTGCAGGCATAACAAATTAGCTCATTAAAGAGCTGTTTATTCAATACGAGTTGAAAAATGAACATATCTACCCTTCTGTCTTATTCCTAAATTTGAATTCATTCAGCAAAGCAAACAGTTTTTGCTAAAAATAGAATAGATACTTTTTATGTAAATCCAAATATTGTAGGATACTCACTAGTATAAATAAGTATTTATTAAAGGCCTTCCACACTGCTGACACTGTGCTAGGTTTCATATAGATATTATGGTATGTAATTTAGGTGGCTATTTATTGGTGTTTCTATCTTCTGCTATGACACATACCTCTGTCCTTTACCCTCAGGGTGGAGGTCAGSATCAGTGTTTGATGAGGATAGGGTTTAGCTAGCAGTGGGATCATCCAAACAGACTACAAATAAAAATACATGCATTGTTTGAGCCCCCAAATACTTAGAAATGGACTAGATATGAGGTGGAGGATGGGAGAAATCTTAATTGAACACGATTAAAAGGAATGGAGGAGACACAATCAACTTGAAAAGATGGTTCCATTGTATCAGAGTCCTGAAGTAAAATTGCTAGCCAACCAAGATCATCCAAAACTGGCTCCTACTGTTCATTTAACATGTACCATGTCATTTGAATTTTTTCTTTTCTTTGTATTCCTTTCCCCCTCCCTTTTAACAGAATCGATAAAAAAATGTCTGGAGGCCAAAGTGGGTATGAACTTAGTGAAGCCAAAGCCATTCTAACTGAACTGAAATCTATCAGAAAGGCAATTAGCTCAGGAGAAAAAGAAAAACAAGATCTGATGCAGGTATGTTATACCAATTTAAGTCAATCTGTACCTTCTAAGTAATTCAGCAAGGCAGAGTCTGGATGACCATCCATCACCTCCATCCCATTTGTACTGAATGGGGGCCCTGTGGGAGGTTTTGCAGACTCTGAGGCAGCCTAGTTGCTGTGGAGGAGAACAGGTTGTTTCTAAACTTCTTATATGCTTAATTGAAGTCAGGTCCTGAATATCCTTTGAGACAGTGGGTGGTGGAACCCAGAGCTCATTTAAGAAAATTAGCACCCTGAAACTCACTAAAAATTTCATGTGAGACCCAAATGAGCAAAATTCTCTGAACCAATGATCCTTAGTCAGGATACATAGGGTATGTCACCTGTCATGCCTTTTGAGGTGAGGCTGTGTGAGTAGCTTAGAATAACTTCTTTTCAACCCAGGGTTCAGTGGGGGATATTGTTTCATCTAGGGGATACCAATATAGTTACCCTAGGAAAGCTGCTATTGGTAGAAAATCCTCTTGTTGTTTCTGTATAGTAGAAAACTCATTGTGTAGAAAAAAGAAAACAGTCATTCAGTGATCAATATTCTAAGTGCTTACTAGGTATGGTCAAGTTTTTTTCTAAGGATGTCTCTCTTCCTCCTCTTCTTTTCCCTCCATCCCATAATTATCACAAACACTAAGAACTTTTGGAGTTCTTCATCTAACCAAGAAAGAATTTAGTCTGTGTCTTTCAAAAAATGTTAAGAGTCAGTGGTAGTATTTGCATTCTTTACAGAACCTCTCTATTTAAATACTACAGCCAACATCATTTTGGTTTTCAAAGTGTTAGTGGAATATATATAAATATTCTTGGATCCCTATGATTTTGCATTTCAGGAATTTTGAAATAACTTGCAAGAGATCTAATAAAAAAGATAATGGTGATAATGACAAATACTTAAAAATACTGTATATTTTATATATATATCCTGTATATCCTTCTAATTGCCTTGCATGTAAATAATTCACTTAATTTTTACAACAACTCCTGAAGATATTATTATCCTCAGCTTATAGACAAGGAAATTGGAGCACAGAAAAATAAGTTATTTAAAGTCATATAACTGGTAAGTAACAGGACTGGAGTTCTGAGCAGTATTGCCCAGAATATGTGATTTCAAAACACATATAATATACAAGACTTGACTTGTTTATATTTTGTTTTTGTTCCATAATTATGCTACTGATTAAATTAGTAGCTTTGGCAATATGTACCGTGGTTCCTTTTTTAAAAAGAAGTTAATGGAGCTTGAAGAAATTTACATTGGAACCTTATAACTGAACAATTTTAGGTCATCTTTGAATTTTTTTTCTGTCAACTTTGGATTCATAGACCAGATTAAATAAAAGGATTAAATTCTTTTCAATTGCTAAAGAATATAAAATAATTTATTAGTAGATACAGAGATCAACAATAGAGCTGAAAAGGATATTAGATATCTTCTGTGACTTTCAAATTCTCTGAGTACAGTAAGAAATATGTTTTACATCAAAACCTAATGACATACAAGGGAGTGTACCTATCGCTACAGACATGTTCACACTTAAAACAATTTTCACAGAAATATGCCTGCTCTCAGTACTGGTGATATACTCTGATTTTATTTTGTTCTGACTAAAAAACTTTATTCACACCCTAGTGATTGTGACTATGTTGATTGAGTGTACTGTTATTACAGATAAGATTGAAAAACACTAATGTTTTCAGTTTACAGATAGAAAAATAGGAAAGACTTGCCCAAGATGAAAAGTTTCTTTGTTCTTTTCTCTAATRTATTATTTGATGGGTCCATGTAAGTTCTATTCCTCTTAAATATAGATTTTATATAAATATCCCTTGGAAARCAAATTGAAAAAGTTAGGAACCAGATCTCCGATATTTCTGTCCTTATGAAAATTTTTATATCAGGATTAAATGCTGGCTCTTAAAGTTGATAATAGTGGTTTCTAACCATTTTTTATTAGTGTTGCTGTAGGTTTTTAAAAAAGCAAATTAAGTAATATTTTTCTTTTTAGTACTTTTACTTGTATATATCCTCCCTCTAAAGTAAACCCAGCATGTTAGAACTGAGTGAGTGCCAATAGCAGGCACATTCACTTTTGGTTATTTACTTTAGTAAACCAACCTTTACCACCATGGACAGTGTCATGAGTGGACACGTAGATGGACTCAGCTTAGGGCTGGGCCACTCCTTAGCAACTTTGAAGCCTCAGTTTTCTAATTTCTAACATTAATGTAAGCTGAATAATCTCTTGAGTCCTTTCCAGATGTAAAATGACATAATTGTAGAAGTCTTCTAAGACAGAAGTTATCTTAATATATCTAAAATGAAAGATTGTATTGTAAATATTTTGTTTCCATGATTTCTGTTACTTAGAGTGAGTGATAAGTTTGTTAAGTTTGTTTACTATTGCTGTAAGCAACTGGGTACTTTATAAGGAAAAAAAMCTTATTTAGCTCACAGTTTCGAGCTGAAAATCCAAGATTATATGGCCCCATCAAGTAAAGGCCTCATTGCAGGAGGACCTGATGTCAGGAAGAAGAGATCATCTAACAAGATCAGGAATCAGATTCAGGGAGCAGACATTATCCTTTTACAATCCAACCTTTTGGGGACTAACAAGGGTACCTCAAGAACTATATTAATCTCTTATAAAGATGATGGGGCTAGGGTTGTGGCTTAGCAATAGAGAACTTGCTTAGCCAAATGCAAGGTGCTGGGTTTGATTCTCAGCATCACATAAAATAAAGGTATTGTGTCCAACTACAACTAAACAACAACAACAACAACAACAACAAAACGTTTAAATAAATAGATGATACTCCCAGTGACTAAATACTTTGCACTGGCCCCACCTCTTAAAGGTTCCTCTGCTTCTGAACATTGTCCCACTGAGGCCCAAGCTTCTAGTATATGAGCTTTTGGCGGGCACACTGAAACCATATCCAAATGATAGCAAGTTCCTATTGAAATTAAGACTTCTAAATAAAGTTTAAACATAGAAATGCATTTGTTAGATGTAGAGATACTATTATTCACAGGAAAATGCTGTCATAGGAAAAGTGAGACAATTTGTTTGGTATCTGTTCACATATTTCCAAAGTGGGGTGGGTGTGTGAGAGAGCAAAATTATATTTTAATCTTATTTTTAAAATAATAAAAAGTGGTTAAAGGACCGAAAATAAAGTAATTTTTTTTCTTTCCTCTGACATTAGCTCTCTCCATTTAATTTTACCTGGTGAGGAAGGGTTGCCTTCTTACATGTTAAGCTTTATGAAATACTTTGTGTTTCTTGGACAGAGTCTTGCTAAGCTGCAGGAGCGGTTTCATTTGGATCAGAACATTGGCAGATCTGAGCCAGATTTGAGATCAAGTCCTATGAATTCTCATTTATCTCTCTCCAGACAGACCCTTGATGCCGGGTCACAAACAAGCATTTCTGGAGATGTAAGTTACCCGTGTCGTTGGTTGTCCCAGTGTCATTCTTGATGGACCTTAATAACAAGTRTAGATGGTGAATTGGAGCAGGAGCTAGACATGTGGTTTACATTCCAACTGAGTACATTCAGTATTTCATTCATCTAAGATTGGTTTWAAAAATTGCTGTCTTTTCTCTCAAGGTGTCAAGCATATTAAGATTTGCTCATATGAGTAGCTTTCTTCAAACTTTTTCAGACTATATTTCTTTAGTGACACTGTTGAAAGCCTAGAGATACATGAAAATTGAACTTTTTCCTAGTAAATTTGGAGACTTGAAAATTTAGGTCATTTCAAATGAACATTAAGGTCAATGAAAAATAGAACTATATACCTTGAAAACTTGGTTTTATAAATTGGAAGTTGATTACCTTAAAGTATTTAATATATGATTTATAGCTGACTTTGGAAATGTTTAATGTGACTTGAATATTATTATATTATTAACTACTTTGCATTTTTACTTTTAGAATGCGATTAATAGGTATTTACTTTTCTATAAATCGCCAGTTGTTTTTGTATTCTCTTATACTTCTTTAAAGTTTATGCTATGAAAGTTAAATAAGTAGATATCAACAGTAGGACTTAACCCGTTTAAAAATTAATTTTTGAGGTTATTTAGTTTGTATTTTTTATAGTTGAAAGCTAAATGATGGAAATTTTGGCTCATAAAGGAAAAGAAATCAGTTCCAGTTCATAAATTTTATTGACTCATATACTTTCATAAACTCTTAAGATACCAGACACATTTACCTGACATTTTTGTCTTGAATTTAATGTGTGGAGAAAGTGAATGTGAAAGTCTTTGAAAAACAAACAGGCTTGAATTGAAAGAAATGTTTGCCCCTACTGAGAATATAAAGTAAGTACCTTTTTAAACTGGTGCTTTCCCATTTTGGTACCATTTTCTGGAGCTTTTCAATTATTGGTACTTCCTAAGAACAAAAGCAGTTTTCTTCATTCATTAGCAGAGTTAATTGACTTTTTTCTTTTTGTTTTACTAGATTGGAGTGAGAAGTAGATCGAATTTAGCTGAAAAGGTCAGGCTAAGCCTACAGTATGAAGAAGCCAAAAGAAGGTAAGGATGGGGAGCAAATTTTTTTTTATGGTTGATGGGCCCAAACATCATTTTATTTTCCAGAATTAATCTTTAATCTTTACTCCTATGGTGACATCTGCTGGGTACTCCCCACACACTCTTGCCAGGGTTATATCCTTAGTTATTTGCGTCTTAAGGGTTGCTTTCCCTCTCCTCTCTCTCCTCCCTATCCACCCTTCCCTCATAGGTGAAGAATAAGGAGAATTAATGAAAAGTGTGGGAGTAAAATTGTCCCCTTCTCTTCTGGAAAAAGAAGCTTTAAACTTCTTTAAGACTTTGGATTGAAAGTGAGAAGTTTGGCTCCTGGGTTGGAAACATGATACAGTGGCTTAGGCACAATATTTGACAGATGCTGAGGAGATCTGAGGTGGACACCTTTGAGCATGGTCCTCTGCTTTGAAGGGAAACCTTACTGCTAATGTCGTTGAAGGTGCTGAGGTGTTTGTTCCAGCTGATTTATGTCAGAGAGAAGGAGGAGATACTCTTATTTCTCTCCTCTACCTTATAAACTCTTAATAACTCCTGTGCTTTCTTTTTCTTACTTTTGTGACTCTTCTGGGATGAGATGCAGAGGAGACCTCACTGTCCTTATCTAGTAGAGAGTCAAATGTTTAAAAAATATAGCATACCTTATTTGTTTGGAGGGAGATCATACTGAGTTGATTTCATATTTTCCTTTTAAGAGCTTAAAAATCCTTTTGGCTTATTATTTAGAAGACATTGGGAAAAGCTGCATTGTTACCATGCAGGAGACAAAGTAATTCATCATGTTCCTTCCATGAGCATGAAAAACTCCACTGAGAACCTGCTAGGGTATCATGGTTTCCTACCATGAGGAAAACCCATCTGATATTGAAGTATGCCCACAATTACTGATGATGATGAAAATTTTAAAGTAATTGACCATAGTTCTTACAGGTTATCTGGATTTAAATAGGTAAAATAAGTGCAATATTTAGTTTACTTTCTGTAACCTGTGTTTCTGATATYATTTGGTTTGTCAGTTTCCTGAAAAGAAACCTAAGCTTCATTCTCCAATTATTAACCATGGGAGCTTGAGCAAATCACCAAGTCCTTCTGAATAGCAGTTTACTTAGCTAACGTTAATGCCTTTAAATTTTCCTCAGTAAAGTTTAAATGTCTTGAAGGTAAGAAAAAATGTTATACTTTATTACCTCCTTCTCAGGGTCTAGACTAGGGCCTTGGCATCAGTAAGCATTCGGAAAGCTGATTTGCAGTTGGGGCCTATGGTGGATGCTGCCATGGTCCTCTTGCTGTGTGCAGGTCAGCCCTTTAGCCAGCAGAACTCTTTGGTTCTGATGTGAACAAAGCCCAGAAAGTGTGTCTGGTTTTCTGAAGGAGAATGGCTATAACTCAAAACTAATCTTGGAGAACAAGTCCTTATCCCCGTGGGTTCTTACAGGCTTGACTCTGCTTCCTTTGGATCAGCTTGGGCTATTTTTTTTACTGTGACTGCCAATAGTTAATTCCATCTGGAGCTTACACAGCACTTCTCTTCTCAGGTGCTCCTGGAAGTCTTCTTCATATTCCATTCCCCAGATTTGGTACATACTCTGTAAAAGAAAATGGGAGATCTCCCTAATGTCTGATCATGTTATAAATAGGAACCTTTCTTTACTCCCTCACATTGTTGCTCCCAGCTCAATTGGTTAATTCAGTCACATCAAACCTTAAGACATTGGTTCTTTACCATTTGGTTGCATTGCTGTACTATTTGGGGTCTTGTTTTAAAGTTACTAGTGGTGTTGATGAGAATGTATCTCTCAAGTGTTTATGCATATGTTGAAAATGCATTTTCCTCCTCAATTCTGAATAAGTAAAGAGATGGGTTATTTTTTCTCTGAAACCTGTTTTTCTCCTGCAGCCTTTGTTTTATGTGCTTAATGAAGCTAATAACATCATGCTTATTTAGCATTTTGATGGTTAATTTTCCAGTACGTTGAGACAGTTGTTTATGGTTTTGTGATTAAAGCTGAAGAATAGCTGGTGGTACATCTATCATAAGTGCAGACGGTGGGTGAAATCAGAAATACACTACATCTGAAGTGGCAGTCTCAGAATGCAATTTTATTTCTAACTAAAACAAGAAACTTATGGCACAAAGATGTGGATTTATTTTCATCTTTGTTCTTGATTTTTTTTTTTTTTTGTTATTTTTTTTCATTCCTTTTACAGTTTTTTGCATTGAAAAAGGAGAAAATCTCCCTTTTCTGTTTTCCATACTCTGGTGTGAATGTCTGAAGCAATCATCCAACCTTTTTTTTTTTTTTTTTTAAACAGTCACAGATTCCTTGTGCAAACCTCAGTTGTATTCATAGTTTACCTGGATCTTAGACTTTGGGGGCAGAAGAGCCATGTTCCTATTCTAATCTTGTAAAAAGTCCTGCTTGTTTTCACAGTGCTGCAGAGCAAATATTCAATTCAGGTTGTCAAGACATTCATATTGAAAATGAATTGTTAACTTCATCATTAATTGGGGAGCTCTGGGCACAGTGAGCTTTGAAATTACTCAGTTTGTTTTTGGTGCTTTTTGTTCTCTCCCCGCATTCCTGTTTCCCTCACTTCAGCACCTTTTGACACTCCAGTGGTACCACACCAGCTTCCTGTGCTGGTGAAGGTCCACTGTGTACTCCTGAACAGGCAAATAAATGTACAGAGGAACTTAAATCCAATGCAGTAGTGGATATAAGGTGCTGGTGCAGTGCTTGCTCAATAAATGGTACATACACCAGTCAGAGCCCTACGGAGAGGAGACATCACAGCAGGAAGCTTAAGGACAATGTGGGCCTGCTCCCTTAACCTTGGGGGGAGACTTGATGGAACTGACTTTGTTCTAAAATGAGTCAGCCAAACTACTGTTCTCTTTTCTCCACCCTTTCCCTGACCTGCTAATAATAACCCTAGTCTTCGCCAACCTGTTCTGGGGATTACCATTTTACTGGAAAAGATGCTGTAGACAGTATTGCTACCCAGAGGAACAAAAATCTACAAAAATGGCATTTGGGGCATCATTGCAGTGCCAACCTCAGTTTTGTTTTGTTTTTAAAGGGAAGCCTCCAGGTTCCTCTCCTGTCACACCACACACACACACACACACACACACACACACACACACACACACACAAACATCAGGGCAGCCTGCCCTTGGGCCCCAGAGTACTTTCCTTTTGAAGTGTCTGTGTACTTGTCTTTCATGCTGTTGTCAGATAGGGAGATGTGCTCACTCACATTATAAAGATGGGGGATGAAGCAGAGGACAGCTGAGTGTGAAGTCAGGCCTAAGCCTGGAGTACAGAGCTGCTGCCTGCTTTCTGGTAAGCTCCAGTTGGGAAGGTCTGGATGGCAGTTCCACCCCAGACTTAGCTGGTTGTGTTTGCCTTTCTCAGGARTCCTAAACATGTGCATGTTTCTTCTCTTTATTTTAGTATGGCCAACTTAAAAATTGAACTGTCAAAGTTGGACAGTGAGGCTTGGCCTGGGACGCTAGATATTGAGAAGGAGAAGTTGATGCTGATTAATGAAAAAGAAGAACTTTTGAAGGAACTGCAGTTCGTCACTCCGCAAAAACGCACACAAGATGAATTGGAACATCTGGAAGCTGAAAGGCAGAGACTTGAGGAAGAACTGCTGTCCGTGCGGGGTGCACCGAGCCGGGCTCTGGCTGAGAGGTGTGTTTTCCTACTGAGAAGAGGGCAACTACAACGTGGCTGAATCTTAACTGATGACATTTTCCCTGGGTTTGGAAATCTCAGTTTTATCTGTTCTTATTGGACAGAGAATGGTACAATAGAACTTACTTTCTGTAGAGCGATAAAGCACACCCACCTGATGCCCCTCAGCATCCATTACTCTACATCTGTTGGGACTGAAAATGCCTTTGACTGATGTTGAATAACTAAGGAATGTTGACATAAAATCATGAATATAGTCCATCACTGACTGAGTCTGATAATGGTAGCTGTAAACTATTGCACTCTGATAAGAAAGATGATCTAGATTGTTTTATAAGTAATAAAACCTATTCTAGGTTTTATTACTTATAAGAATGCAAAATTTTATTGCCTTTAATTTCACAAGGAAAAGAAGAGACAATTTACTCCCTTTGGTATCCTAATAGTTTACAAAATGTTGCTTGGATTTTGCTTGTAAGTTGAAACCCTCCTCTGAAACAGCTGAAATATAAAGGAAAATATTCTAAGAAGTTTTCTAATCTTTCTATGGGAAAGTGTGAGTTGATTATTTAATCTAAAAACTCAGTTCTATTAATAATAGTAAGTGAGAGAACCTATGTATATCTGTTTGGTATGAACACATCTGTGTCAGAGCCCTATGTCTGGCCTTGCTGGCTGCTGTGGTGGGACCCCTGTTTTAGAAAAGACTGTGTAACCTTTCAAAACCACTGTATATGCATCCTTTAGGCCACCAAGTAAGGAACAGTGCCTCACAATAACAGGAATGACATTCACATTGGTATTATCTCAAGTTACCTGCATATAAGTTTAAAATACACAGCCATAATCCAATTTTTTTTTCCTTTCTCTCCACATCCATACTGGGAATTGAACCCATGGTACTCTACCACTCAGCTACATATCCAGCCCTTTTTATTTTGTATTTTGAGACAAAGTCTCTCTCGCTAAGTTGCCCAGGCTGGCCCGGAACTTGTGATCCTCCTGCCTCAGCCTCCTGAGTTTCTGGGATTACAGATATGCACCACTGCACCTGGTGGCAGCAGCAGCTCTTCTTCCTCCTCCTCTTCCCCCTCCTCTGTCTTCTCCTCCTCTTCCTCCTCCTCTTCCCTCCTTCTCTTCCCTCCTTCTTCCTCTGCCAGTCCAAGTTTAACTGTTCAGGAGATTTGACTTTTGTGGATTAAAATGTTGATCAAGGTAATATGTGGCTATAGCATTTTAGCTTTAGGGTTCATGGACAAGTATCAAGAGGAAAAACTAATGCAGACTGTATTCTTTTACTCACTTAAATAATTCTCCTCATTGCTCCCATTTCCCTTCTTTTCTTCCTTGCTTGCTCTGACTTGTATTTTATGGGGCTGACTGACAGTGAGATCAGTCTAAGGTAGGTATGAGGAAGGCTGGCTAAATTAGGATCCATCTGACAAAGACCAACAGAAACAAAGAGTAATGATGAGAAGGCAAGGCTGAATTAAATTGTTTTTACTGAATTACCCTTGTCTATGTATTTGTATACCTTAAATTTCCAATATAAAAGTTTAATAGTCTTCAGTAAATACAATGAAATTAGTAGCCTTTGTGTGGTCCTTGTGAAAGCACCAGTGATATTTGGTGTATTACGTAATACTTAATAAATGTTATCTACAATCATTCCTCCATATCCATGGAGGATTAGTTTCAGGAGTCCTTCCCCCATGCCAAAATGTGTGCTTACTCAAGTCCCTCATTCACCTATGCACATCTGCCCATATACTTTGAATCGTTTCTAGGTTACTTATAGTACGTAATACAACACAAACACTATGTAAATAGTTGTTATACCATATTGTTTTAGGAATAAAATAGACAAAAATAATCAGTACCTGTTTAGTACAAATGCAGGGTTTTTTTTCCCCCTCTAAATACTTTTGGTCAGCTATTGGTTGAATCTGARTATGGAACTTAGGGACATTGAGAGCTGAATCTTACAGGGCTAATGTGCAGTGTCCATCCTGGCTGTTTGTAGTAGATGAATCTGGGAAGGTTCTACAGGTTTGTACTAAAAGGGAGAGAAACACATGTGCTTATTTGTTTTAATCAGTATTTACAGGTATGGTGTCTGGCTTGTCTTTTTTATTAGGGAGAGACAAAAATGGTTAGTGAAGTAACATTGAAGATATGTTTTTTCCCTTGGTACCAAAACTTTTACTTTCATACTTGTGTTTGCACACACTATCCAAATTCCAGTAGCAGCAATGGGCTAGAATGCATCAAATGGAGAATGTATAAAACACTTCTATAAAATAATAATCTATTTAGTCTTATCCAGCCTTGGGCTTTTGTCTAGTGGGGCATAAGCAGTATAGATAGTCCTACCAATCTATGATACCTACATAGACTTGTCTCCCATGTTTGCTTGTTAGCGGGAAAGAAAATGGATACATTTTGCATTGGTAATATGTTGATTTTTTGAGTCATTTGTAAGTCAAGTGGTTCAGTATTCCAAATAAATGAATACTAATTTCCTTTCTAGTGTCTGTGGCCAAAGGCAAATACCATAATTATGTTTCAGTAAAAGGTTGAGGGACTTTTACTTGCTTATTTTATCAACTTAAAATTTTCTCACAGCCACTGTTGGTTGTTGAAGGCTCAGTGTTGCACATGTACCAAAAAACAGGATGTTGCAGTGAGCTCTGAGTCCTTTATTTCTCAAATAGACACAGTATAGTAGGGGTCTTGGGTCTTCTTCTTGTTGTTCATTGTTTTACTTTATTCCCTCATACTCTGCCACTTTTTCTTATACTTTACCTTTTTCTTATTTGTTTATTCCTACCACATGTATTTATTTCTTCTCTGCTTTTTGCCGCTGTTGAACCGAAAACTGGGACCTAATAAGGTAAAAGAATACCTTTGCAAGCAGTGTATTTCTTCAGATACTAATGGGAAATAAAATTCTATTTTACTCTGTAAAATTTAGTTTTATCATAGAACAAATTGTGCTCCTCCAGTACTAAATCACTGAATTTCTTCTTGGTACCTTCACAACTACCAATGAAAGCTACTTGCTGCAATGACCCAAATTTTCCTATTTTCTATTTATGTTGTGGGTCCTTCATTATTTCATCAGTGACCTCAGGAAAGATTCTGAGTCATTAATGGGTTGTAGACTATGAAGGAGCTAAACTCACATGAATTTTCAGACATTGTGTGTGATCTTAGGGTTTCCTATGCCGGTTCCTGCCCCTACTCTACAGCAGTGTCACCTACTCAATCTTTCAACAGTGACTGAGCTCGCCACCTAGTGGTGGTAATGTGCATTAGGAAAAGTGAGAGCTGCTCTTTTGAGAAGTTGCTTGAGGTCTTTCTGTACGTGACTTCCTATTTTCACAATGCAGTTATTGACGTTATTTAAACTCTGATTTTCTATAGTTAATAAGAAAAGTCCTAACATTGCTCCTTATTTTCTCACAAATTTTGGGGGCTTCGCCTTATAATTGCCAAGATGTCTCAATCATTTTCTAATTATTTGAATGTTTTTATCAATGCTTCTGAAAAAATTTTAAAGCAAGTAAAGGGCATGGGTGCCACTTATTTTCAATGGAAAAGGAACTGCTTTTTTTCCTGTGGAAATGAAATGTTCCCTAAGTGGAAAGTTCTGAGTTTAGGAGAGACCTGGTGGAGTCTCTGTCTCAGGCACTAAGATAGAAGGAGGGTGTGAAGACCCTATACTTTGCAAAGGTCAGTGGAAAGGAGAGAGTGGAACAGGAGGGCCAAGGGGAAAATCTCTTAGGGGCCAGGGTAAAAAGACCCTTTCTCATGTAGGAAAAGGCAGATTTGGAGAAAAATTTGAGGACATGGATATTCTCTTTAGAAGGCAGTTGCCAGCTATTCAGAGGAAGTTAAGGAAGTCATCTCCTATGAAAGACACCTGAAATCTGAGGAAGACTTCTGGCTGCCATCAGGAGAGTCTTGGTGTTTATATCAGAGGCAGAGACAGCTGCCCCACTAGAAGGTTTCTCTGACTCTTGTCAGTGCCTTCATTATGCTAATGCCAGTAAAGAGCCTAGGTAGGAAAGAGAGAAAGAGCTATGTCTGCCTTTTAGGAAGTTAGTATTATATTGGGGAACATTCAAATATGAACACAGAAGGTGTGTGCCAGTAATTCAGAGTCAAACTAAAAAGACCTAGGAGAGCAGTTCCTAGACTTGACCTAGAAGAGGGCAGAGGATGGGCCATCTCTGGTGAATAGGAAAGAAAAAGCTTTGTATTTAAAACTTTAGGATGAATCAGACATTTCAGGATTAAATTCTAATGTGATGCTGATGTGTCCTTAAAATAGGAAAAGCCTCATTTTAATAAAAGTAATAGTTTTAAAACTTCAGAGTTTCTCTTACTTCTGAAGACATGGAGTTTAGAAATGTTTGGGCTTTCTCCAGATCTTTGTGTACCTTCTAATTCAGTTAATCTTCTTGGTGTTAATTTTTTTTCCTTGTTGAGCTATTATTTATATTTGTGAGATTAAAAAAAATAAAGACTATCTTATTTTTTAAAATGAACTTATGAAAGCTGTGAATTAAGAATTTATCACRCCTTGAASTATTAAATAAATGGCAAGAATTACTTTTTTATTTTAACATGTAATGAAGTTGTGTTATTGACACATCAAAGGGATACATACCTATAAATAAAATATGGATATATTTTCTTACTATTCAAGACTTACATAATATTTCAAAGAGGCTGGAAGTGAGGGAAATTTTCTTTTTCTCCAAACAAAAATAGCTAATTTTTATATCACCACCTTGCAGGGCATGCTGAGGCTTTGAACAAGTCTGATTTGTTTTTATCATCTGTAGAACACTTTGACATACATTACTCCATTTGATCCCTTTAACTGCCTTATCAGGTAGACACAGGAGGATTATAATCACCATTTTACAGATGAGAAAGGTGAGACCCTTGATTCAATGACTAGCCAAAGGATCCAACCCTAGTAAGCAGCAAATCCAGGCTGGGAACCACAGTGTGTTTTTTCTGATTCTCATTTTGTAGCTCACTTGTCTGCACTGAACTGGCTTATTTCTAAGACGATATCTAAAAACCCTCAGATAACACAGACTTTACTTGTGCAGTTCTCAGTTGCATAAGACCCAGGGTACTTAATATGTCTTTAAAAMGTGAGTTATTTTTCAAGATACAATTCTATAATATTCTAATTAAAAAAATACTTTTGCAGTTGGATGTGAATAATATTTTGTGATAATATGGTACAGATGATGAGATATGATGTCACTAGGAAAGGAAGTCACTTTGAGGTCTTCTTGCTTTTAAGCAGCCCAAATTAGTCCACACAGCAAAAGAGACTAATTTCTTTCTTAATTGTTAAACAATTCTCATCAAATTAAGACTAGAATTTTCATCATCGAATATAATTTTGGAATAATCCTTGCTAAAATCAGTATTTAGGATGGCTTTTTATAATTCTTTATTATTTTACTGACAAATGTGTTAGTAATGTGAAGTCAAATTATAGACTTGTGTAAGGATTTTGTAGCATATCTATGTATATGTGTATATATAATTATTTTCCTCCTCACTGTTCTTCCCCAACTCATAGGACTATATTATTTACCCACTTAAGAAAATTTTACATTTTTTTCTCAGTAGCATTGGCAATTGGGCATAAATCTCCCCTATCTTCAGCAACTTAGCAAGGCTGTAAGCAATTTAGCAAGATAGTATCTCAAAATAAAAATTAAAAAGGCCTGGGGATGTGGCTCAGTGGTTAAGCACCCTAGGTTCAATCCCCAGTACAAAGAAAAGAAAAGAAAAAAAATCTCCCACATCATCTAGTGTGGCTGTGTACAGCATCCTGTTTTTTCTCTGTCAAGTTCATTCAGATTTCCCCCTCTTGATAGGTAATATTTGTGTAATAAGAAACTTTGTTTTTTTTTCACATTTCATCATAATCATTTGAAGATCAATTAATTTTTATAATTTTTTCCTAGATTGAAATTGGAAGAGAGAAGAAAAGAACTGCTACAGAAACTTGAAGAAACTACTAAATTAACTACTTACTTGCATTCACAACTTAAAAGGTAAGCCCATTAGATCCTCAAGGGGAAATTTTTTCTCTATCTTTCAGACATATTCTGGTTCATCTTTGGTTAGTTTATACTTTATTTTCAGCTATTTAAATGTAATTAGGTACATGAGTAAAATTAATGTGTGAGTGACCAAATTTAAAGTTATAGATTTTTTTTTCATGAATCACAAGGTCATATTTGGCATACATTTGAAATATGTTGTAAGAAGATTTTAGCCCTCAATGAAAACTTAGGAAAATGGAACATTTCTCCTATTATCTCATCTTTTAAAAAATGAGGGTAGGAGAGATTTACCTTAAAATTGCCATAGATTTTCTTATATTGGTTAGAAAAATACTCACTTTTATATTCACCCACAGAAAATGGGAAAGGCAAATGAACCCAGGGGCTTGCTTTTTTTTTAAACCACTAAGCATCATCACTAGCCCTTTTTATTTTTTATTTTGTGAAATGGTCTTACTACATTGTGTAGGACCTCACTGTGTTGCTAGGGCTTGCTTCAAACTTGTGATCCTCCTGCCTCAGTCTCCAAAAGCCATTGGGATTACAGGAGTGTGCCACCAAGCCCTGCCCAGAGACCTTATGTGTAAGCACTCAAGTTTTATAAGCTTGCCTTTTTTTCTCTAAAAATAAGGTTTAAAAAACCTAACAACATAGCCATATTAATACTTTGTCCTGGTCATCCCTGTACCCCCCTTATATTTTAATTATAGGATTGCTTCTGTATAGCTATGCAAGGAGAATTCCAAGAAACTATTTGGCATATTTTTTAACTTTTATAAAATGAGGATAATTTTTTCTAAGATACAATTGTTGCTTAAAGAGTATTTGGAGAGCAAGTTAGAAATTATTAGTGAATAATCAGGGAAATGCTATGATGGCATATCCCTTGGCCCTGGTCATATATTCCGTTCTTTGGCACCACCTGTTTCCTTCCAGTTTGGGATCTGAAGTCACCAGTAGGGGTTATGATTGGTTTTTCCACATAGTGACAGATTTTACAGTGTGCTTTTCTTCTTTTAGCCTCTCTGCCAGCACGTTGTCCATGTCATCTGGGAGCAGCCTGGGTTCCTTGGCATCCAGTCGGGGCTCGCTGAACACCTCCAGCAGAGGGTCTCTCAACTCCCTCAGTTCCAGTGAGCTCTACTTCAGCAGTCAGGGTGATCAGATAGATGTGGATTATCAGTATAAACTGGACTTCCTTCTCCAAGAGAAGAGTGGTTACATTCCTTCTGGACCTATCACTACCATCCATGAAAACGAGGTGGCCAAGTCCCCCAGTCAGCCTGGCCCAAGTGGACTCTGTGGGGTGGCAGCAGCTGGCCACACTCCCACCCTGACTGAGGCCCCCAAGTCTGTGACATCCCTATCTTCAAGGTCCTCCCTTTCTTCCTTGTCGCCTCCTGGCTCTCCTTTGGTCTTGGAAGGCACATTTCCCATGTCTTCTCATGACTCCTCTCTTCATCAGTTCACTGCTGACTTTGAAGACTGTGAATTGAGTAGCCATTTTGAAGACATTAGCCTTGGTGAAAATCCCATACTGCTGGATTCAGATTCAGTAGGAGCATCCCAGTCTCTTTTAGAGGACAAAGACCTTAATGACTGTGCTGGGGAGCCATTATATGAAGGAACTACAGGTAAATGGAAACCTTTGTTTTTATGCATTCCCTCTAAAGGATTTTAAGGACATTGGGTGGGAAGGTTACTTTTTCCACATAGACAAATGGTATAGTCTCCCCTTTTTTCCTCCTAAATATTTATTTCAGCTTTATTTAAGAAGGAACCTTTATTTATATACCCAGACCTTTTCTTTGTCAAATTGTCTTCTTTATTTAATAGATTTAATCATTAGGTACTTGTTTTGTGGTCCAGAGACACTCTATGTGTGGTACCTGGCTAGACCTTATTTTGTAAACATACTTTATGCTTCTAAACAGATGCCAGTTCTAAAATACTAAAGCAAAGAAGAGGGCTTTCTTCTAAATTTTGGCCTAAAACAGATTAAAATCAAGTCAATTAGCATACAAGCTAATTAGTACAAAGGTTCACTGTTTAGATTGCTCAGGGAATTCTATATAAATACAATTTTATTTTATGCCAGACTCTCCCTTTCTGCCGAAAGTTAATTTGAAGAAGTAGTCTCCAGTATATGGTATTACCCTGCCATCTTCTGGCTGCTGTGACAGTTGCAGCCCGAGGAAGAGGCTGTAAGAAGTAGACTCCTGCCTGTGTGTTCAAAGAGACCAACAAGAAGAATCTCATTTTATTGATTGTTTTGCTCTATGTGACAGAAATATTTAATATGTTAGATACAGTTAGTGCCTTTGTTGGCACATGATCTCTAATGTGATCCAAAAAGGATAATCTGTTCTAGAGCTAACTTGAGGCAAAATGGGAAATCAAAGCTCTGGTCCTTCTCTATGGGCATCCTGGTCAGACTCACGTGAGTTGCTGTGCCCCACCACACAGAAGAGGACAGGCCTCTAAACCAACTGCTTTTGTGCTGTTTTGAGAAGCATTTTTATTTATGTATATGGTCCTGGTAGTTCTGAGTACTAATTGATTGGATAGTTCACATGTTTAAGGACTAGATTGAAATGCTGTGTCCTGCCAGCAGCCTGGGCAGAGGTGGAACATTCTTGTGGTTTGTGTGCCTCCTCTTAGAGAGACATCAGACAAGTAACGTTATAGAAATAATCAGCCACAAAGGAAAACAAGAACAGGCGTGATGTGTGCATMGTGGTTCCACAAAAGCAGAAAGCCACCATGGGCCTCGCCCATGGATGGCGGGTTGCGTTGTGTCCCATGCCTTTACTCACACTTTGAATGTATTTCCATGAGCATGTTACCTTGTCTCTCAGGTCTGTTCCTCGTCTGCAAAGTCGGGATGATACGGTTATACTTGTAGCACTGAAGAAGATTAATGCCGTGATGTGTGGAAAACATCCTAGCACGTCCTATAATCGTGTGATAGTGATAAGTAACACAGTGCCCACCAAACCAGTTCCTACCACGTGTCATTGCAAGTTAAGGGAGGAAGAAAGAATGGGGAAAGAGTAGAGAGCCAGCATTCTGTTCCATTCTTCTTGCTTTAGACTTTCAGGATCTTACATGTCTTGAGCATCTCAAGCTTCTTTGTCCTTCATGTATTTGGAGTATTCTCTAGTGACCACTTATCATCATCTCATCAAGTGGAGGGCCCTGTATGTGGAGTTGAATGCTGGAAAAGAGGAAGGCTTGGGAAAAATTCCCCCCACCAAGTGATCTCAAGGTCCCAGGCACCAGTCCTGGAAGCATCTCTGCTTGGCTGGTGCCTTGCTCTTGGCCCTTGTGTCTGCAACTGTGACTATCAGTGGGCTTGTGGCTGGCAATGGGTGTCTGTGATAATTTTTAAATTTTTTGAATGTTGAAAAGTGTTGTTAAAAAGTCATCATAGAGCYGGGTACAGTGGCTCATGCCTGTAATCCCAGTGGCTTGGGAGGCTGAATCAGGAGGATCACAATTCAAAGCCAGCCTCAGGAAAGTGAGGTGCTAAGCAATTTAGTGAGACCCTACCTGTAAATAAAATACAAAAATAGGACTGGGGATGTGACTTAGTGGTCAAGTGCCCCTGAGTTCAATCCCTGGTACCACCCCTGCCCACTCCCCCCCCCCCCCCCCAAAGTCACCATAGGGTAAGGATATAGCTCAGTGGCAGAGTGCTTGCCCAGCATGTGCAAGGCCCTAGTTTTGATACCCAGAACCWTTAAAAAAGTCACCCTGAAAAAAACTACACCCAGGACCTTTGCAGATAACATTCAGTTTCATGTCTGAAAACAACTAAAAGAATATGTATAAGTGTAAAGACTGATTCTCTTAAGGTCATCAGTGCTTGGTCTATTCAGAGGACATCTACTCTTCCCTTGAGGGAGGGTGACTTCCTGAAAGGGACACTGATTATTTCCTATGCTCTGGAGTTTTAAGTCAAGTCCCTTTTATGTAAACTTTGYTCCCCTGCACCAATCCCTGCTGGATGACAGAAACCAAGTTGGAATAACTATGAAGTCTTTCCACAGTCAGTCTCTGTCATTGTCAAAGTCAATTTCAGGCTGCTGTGGTTATTCCTGGGGGTAATCAATAAATCATGTCATCACCTTCACCCCTCACAAAGGGGGGTGGGCGGAGAGAAGGCACTTCATCATCAAGGAAAGAGCATTCCCACTGCCAGAAATAAAAGGGGAAATGCAGCAATCAATCCTGTAATCTGAAGCCTTAAAACTTAAACATCTTAACAAGATGTAAAGTCACGACTCAGAAGGGGGCCGAAATGCATACCAATACAGATTCACTGGCTTGCTCACTCGAGGATGAAAGAACTCTGCAGGCTTGCAGCTTATTACAGTACAGAACACAGCTTTAAATGAATGTTCCTTGCTCACTGCAGGACGCTGCTGTATGAATATGAGTTAGAGATAAAAGTTAAGTGGTAGTTGGTGCTGAAGATTCAGTAGCACAAAAAGTTTTTTAATGGTAKTAGCTGGTGAGGAATTCCTATAAGTCAAAGATGTCTTCTCCTTAATTTCTGTTAGAATAGTACCATAGGAGTCAGAGAATATGGCATGTGTAGAGGAGAGAGCAAAGAGGTAGAAACGTTTCTTTCCACTGAGTAGTCAGAAGCTCTTCAAATAGAAATATCTCCCAATACTTGAGGGAGGCACAGAGCTTCTTATCCTAAGCATATTATAATTGTGAATGCTTGAAGAAAGAGGTTGGAGAGTCAGAATATGTGCATCCCTTGCCTTAAAATATTTTAGGAAAAAAAAAGACCATATTCATTTCCAAATAACAACTGAAGGAACTGGTGTTGCAGAAATCCCATGAGTCACAGTGCTTTGACTTGTCCACATCTGTTGATTTGAAGAGTAACATCCTTGACTCTCGGAAGGACATTGTATGTTGGCTTTATCATACTCAAACTTCGTGTGTATTTTATATTTGATTTTTCCTAATAAGAAATCCTAATTTTCTAATAAGAAATTTCCCCTCCTTAGATGTGGAAAAATCATTACCAAAAAGAAGAGTAATTCACTTGCCTGGGGAGAAAACTGCTTGTGTGTCGGCTGCTGTGTCTGATGAGTCTGTGGCTGGAGACAGTGGGGTCTACGAAGCCTCCATGAAACAGTAAGGACCCTGCAGGCGTGTTTTCTGGCTTCTCCACGTCTCCTCTGTAGCAGAGCCTGTGTTTTCCAAATTGCAAGTATGCTGCCACTATTAGTGCACCCTTCAGAATAGTAAAGAAATAGTGTGCCGGCCAGGCCTGGTGGCACACACCTGTAATCCCTGTGGCTCAGGAGGCTGAGGCAGGAGGATTACAAGTTTGAGACCAACCTAGCAACTTAACAAGGCCCTAAGGCCTTAGTAAGACCCTGTCTCAAAATAAAACATAAAAAGGAGTCTGGGGTTGTTTCTCAGTGGTAAAAGAAATAGTGTACCTGAAAATTCCCAATGTATCAGAAACATCCCTTCAGCCTCGGAAATGATAAGCAGATTAGTGTACTTATACRTACTTGACCTTCTATAAGACCTAAAAAGTTTATTTTAGTAGGAATGTTAGAGTAATTCACATGTCAAAATGCCTGTTTGACATGTGAAGCTTGTGTGAATTTCTGAAAACCTGGGATTTTTATGGGGGGTATGGTGTAGCTAGTAGGGCTCAGATAAGTGAGATGTCAGTACATCTGTTCCCTAAGTTCCCAGGCAGATTCTTCTTGAAGAGGTAAAGAAAGCTTCTGAAACAGTAAGCTGGGATCAGTTCCCCTGGGGAGTTATCACTGTTTGGTTTTCATTCARAATAATTGAGTGGCAAACAGCAACCATAACAATCAACCTCCCCCAATAATTGACTGCTCACCTCCCATCCTTAGGCCTAGTGAAATCGAAGATGTTCCATTCAGTGAAGAGGATGTTGCCACTGTGGAGACAGCCCAGGTGCAGATAGGACTCAGGTAAAACTGTGTACACAGGGGAAGGGCAGTTCTAGAAGTCTGTGCAAGGACTGATAGTCTGCGGTTACTCTTTATTTCATTCAGCTTCTCTTTCGACAGATATGATGCAAAAAGTTCAAGTTTCATGGTGATTATAGCACAACTCCGAAATCTTCATGCCTTCTTGATACCTCATACTTCGAAGGTGTAAGTAATGTCAGTGAAAAACAAACTGAGAAGCTTAAGAATTTCTACATTTTGATCATTTTACATTGTAATCAATCAGTTCATCAAAATGAAGATATGGAAAAGACTTAGCAAGACTGGTCATGTCTAAATCAACAGTAGGCAAATGTGAAGAGAAAAGGAAAATGTGAGAAAAGCAAATGGAGTTTTGGTCTTTATTCAGCCAATTCCTCATTGAGAATAGAAATCAATACTTTATATTTTCTTTTTTGAGCAGAAATCCTGTGTTATTTGTGTTGGGGCATGGTTATTTGAAATATAATCAAAAATTTTATTATTGTCTAATAGTTATTATTGGTTTGAAGGAATTTTCTGATCTTTTATGTGAAAATTTAGTGATTAAATTTTATTATCCTAGTACAACATTGCCCCTCACATATTTATCATGCTGTATCATCCAACATTCACTTCATTTTTATTTCACATTCTTTTTTTTCAAATATATATTTCTTTAGTTGTAGTTGCACATAATACCTTTATTTATATGTGGTTCTGAGGATCGAACTCGGGGCCTCACCCGTGCTAGGCGAGTGTTCTACCACTGAGCCCCAGCCCCAGCCCTTCACATTCATTTTTTATCATCCAACATTCACTTCCCTCTGACCAACAATTTCTTAAAGTTATTTCATCAAACTAAGAATCTTAACAAAGTGATGGCATAATGTTGTCTAGCCCACTACTTTGGGACTGTTTTCTAACAGGTTTTTCTGGTAGACTCTACCACCATTCACACTTTTTATAGAGTCACAGTCTCAGTGACTCTCTTAAGGGCTCTCTGATTTAGAATACAGAGCATGTATGTCCACCTTACCTTTAAACTTCTTGTAGGAGTGACTCTTAGTATTGAACAAGGCAGTACAAGGGCTTGGAGAAAACAAAAAAGGCTATTGGAGAAATTTTTTAAAAAGATTATACCCAGCCAACGAATGTTTTCCTTAATAATAGCATATATTCCTTAATGAGCAGGATTTTTAACAGAGTAAATGTAAGAGGTTTCGTTTTAGGCTCACATCCTCATATTTAAGAATTGCTAAAGAAAACAAATTGTATGYAAGAAAAAAAAAGAGCTAGGTTGAGGTTATTTAGTAGACAACAAAAAATAGAATGAGAGGTTATGTTGACAATCATCAAAGCTGCATAGGATTCAGGAGGGGAGGCTCAGGACTTCCTGAAATCAAGGAATAGGGGACCAACATCATTAACAAGATCAACCAAGAGAGACAGCATAATCTAGCACTGGTGACATAGATTACCACGTGGGCCTGTTGTCCAGGCCTGAGGTTAAAAATATCAGTTGGCTATTTTCAGTGAAGACTGGCTTGATAATTTTGGCTTCTCCCTTCTAATATGTGTGTTTCATATCTTGGGGTGTGCAATTGGTGGCCTTTAGGCAGATCAGGGAGAAGACAGTTCTACCAGAGTTGGGCTTCAAACAGCACCAGTTCACAAATACAGAAGAAAAGTACAGAATGTCCAAGAATATGTACTGTCTTTAAACTTACATCGTTTACATCTACCCGCATGTTTTAGCTCTTCTAGACCAATCATAGTCATTCTCATCTTGGAGGATAGTCAAAAAGTGCTTTCTAGATGTGTGATGACCCAGAGCCAGTCACTGAGGGCATTAGTAGTATTCATCCAACTGGTGAGAGTATAGAAGGTACCTTTGTCTTATTGGTCTGAGCTTTCCTCAGATACATAGCAGCATTATCTTAAAYCCATGTATAAAAAGCTTGGCCTAAATAACGACACTGCTAAAAATGACAGTTAGTTTGAMATATTCTTAAATGTTCTTTTTCTCCCAACTTCAGAGCTTAATTTTTTATTATTAATTATGACAAGAATTTTTGCTTCGGTGTGTTGCCCCAGTGTTTCCATGAGTCAGTCATGATTTGCCAGGCTGTGGTTTGGCAAGACCTTCTCTACAGCAGAGCTGGGAGAAAAGCACCTCTGCCTGCTTTCTCCATGCCTTAATGTCCAAACTACATAAAATCATTCTTGTTTGTTGTGAAAACATTTTGAGATGAGTTAAGTGGTTAGGCCATTGACACAGAAAACTTGAAGACGGGAGAAACAGAAAAATCCCTTCCCTCCATTTTGACTATTTAATATACTGGCCTCTTATTGTTTTTCTATGAAGGCAGAGAAAAAATATTGTTTCTGCTGAAACTCCAACCTTCCAAGAAGGATGAGTTGTGTCTTAGGCCTTAAATCAACAGCAGTGGCCCAAGACTCACAAGGTGTTTAATGCTGAATCTTCATAATAAATGTTGGTATAAAATAAAAAATAATATGGCACTCTTCAGTTCTGCATTTGAATTTACAATTTTTTTAATTAGAGAGAGGCATGTTTTAGAATATGAATTAGACATGATTAGAAATGGGGACAGGAGAAGATTTAGTAGATATTCTCTTTCTGGGATTAAAAGGAAAATATCTCTTACTATTTCCAATAATTGTGAACCCTGTGCTCAGAAAATTCACTCTAAAGTAGCATTAGAAATTACTGTTTTTCTGTAACTCTTCCTTTGAATCTGCAGCTTTGGAGATGCTAGACATTGATATTTTTGAACTGCTGTTTCATCTGTTTCAAATTTTATTAACAATATGCTACTTTGCCTCTCTTTTTGTCTAGTAGGATAATGTATTCCATTCATGGGAAGTCATCATCAGCATCTCTTTTTTAACACTCAGGATGAGGATTATTTGGGATAAAGTCACCAGTATCTACTTAGGGTATTCCCACCTTCCCAGACMTAGAAATAACTTATTTTGGAATTGGCTGTACCTGGGGAAGATGGGATATTAAATTCATCTGCACCCTAAGGCTTTCTTCCTCTTCGCTTTCCTATCATGTGCCTTTGTTGCAGTCCTGCGGTGAGTGGCAGGCTGGCCCTTTGCATGCTCAGGGGTACAGTTAGCACATGGGTTAAGAATAGAGTGTCTTTGCAGCTGAGCACAGACCCATTATGGCAGCAGCACTTTTGGTTGATAATGAACTCCATATTCCCTCAATTTCTCTGTTTTGCAGATAATTGCAAATGATAGCTGTGAATCCACTGTAATCGAAGTACCTATGAATTTCATTTTATTCTTGTTCTTTGCAGGTATTTTAGGGTTGCTCTTCTTCCCTCCTCAACTGATGTCAGCTGTCTATTTCGAACAAAAGTCCATCCACCCACAGAATCTGTGCTGTTCAATGATGTGTTCAGAGTAGCCATTTCCCAAACAGCTTTGCAACAGAAGACGTTAAGAGTTGATCTTTGCTCTGTCAGTAAACACCACAGGGAAGAATGCTTGGTAGGATTCTTAATAATTACCATTATCAACTAACACAACCAGATATTCTTAGAATATGCTTTCTAGTTGCTGTTCTGCCAGCAACTAGACTAAATGACTGTAGACCTGTCTAACACCTCGGGACACGTCCAGTGGCTGTTTCTTTTCTTTTTTTTTTTTTCCCTGAAGTATTGATTTTTGTTCTTACCTTTATTTTAGACCTTTAAAATCTGTTTATCAGTTATGATAAACTTTCCATTTCTACTTTGACTAAACAAAAACTTTTACCTCTATTATGACCAGAACTTACTGTGTATGCTTTTAGTCCCATTGCCAAGTCCTGTGCTGAATACCCTGTGTGTTATCTCCTTTAATCCCTATGACAGTCTTAGGAAAGATGGATTATGGAAGGTGTGATCATCTCCTACTTTCAGATAAAGAGCTGCTTAGAGAGGGTTTCACACCTAGTGAATGATGGAACCAGATATCAAAGAGACAGCCCACACATAATTCACTGTTACAAATTCAATAAGCAAGACACTGAAAATATATTCAGCTCAGTTTCCCCTGCCATGATATTAGAGCTTCTAAAGAAAAAGTGTAACTGTTTAGAACAAAATGTTTAAATGCTATAGCAAAAGATTCCATACTTAACTAATAGTAAGTTTAATATATTGCTGTGTACAAAACCTGTAAAACCATCACTTACTGGTAAGGCTGGTGTTTAGAGGTGGGCCTGTGTGGTCAAAAACTATGAAAATGTCCAGCTGAGCTTTTCTCTGTGGTATAATAGGAAGCACACACATTTCATGATGAACAAAGCTAATTGTGATAATCTTAATTTTTACTTGAAAAAAAAATGTGTGATACTATTTTCTGGCAATAAAGCAAAGATGGATGTGTTAGGCTATCAGAAAGGCTTTGGTATAATGTCACTTTTATGTATGTCAGAAGCTCTATTAAGTTAATAAACATGTGAAAGGGGATAGCCTTTTAAAAAATAATATAGTTGGATTTACATTATGGCTATTTGTGATTTGGTAGAATATGAAAACCTTTAACCTTTACTGTTTTGGG